TCTCTTCCAAGTAGAGTCCCTGGCTTTGTGGGCAGCTCATGTGACCAGCATCCTAAGGTTTCCACTTCTAACATGTGCCCTGAGTCCCTGCGTGATGAATTGCTCAGCTGATAAGTGAAAGGTCCACCCAGCGGTGCCTTGGAAGAAAGACCTGGCAGTCTTCTGAAAAGTCAGACATTGGGACCCTGAGGAGCACAGTTCTGTTTCGACACACGTGGGGTCGCCATGACCCAGGCAGCTAGACAGTAACTGGTGGTGCTGATGAAACTCGTCTGGGTACTACATTTTGAGATCCATGACACCGGCAGTCCCTGAGGTACGAATCGCGGTCTTAAGAACAACTCCTACGGGCTTCAAACTGGGTCTGTGATGGCCAGTGAGGCACACAGGAGCAGACCTGGGTGTGTCCGTTTTGAGTCTTGGTAACCAGAATGGGAGCGTTGATAGCCCTGGAATGGGAGACTGAAGATGCACAGCCCTTTCAGCAGCTTGATGCAAGGAGAGTGGCTCTCCGCCAGACTGCGACACATTCAGATTGGTGTGGTCAGCCATCATGTTTGGCTGGGCGACATTGCTGTGAAAGCCTGCTTTAATGTTAGGCACATTTCCCCCCCTCAGAGATGGAACCCAGCCCTACTCACAACAACCCCACCCCCTACCCCAGCCCCCTTCACTTGCTGCACATGCCGCTTTGAAATCAGGAGGACGGCTCTGAGCCTTTCCTCACACTGAAGTAAAGCTAAATGAGAACTGCATGCATCTGTTTCCTACTGACCTACAAATTCTTAAAGACCCAGCTAGGGACGGATCTCATTCATAACGGCAGGGATGGCCTGTGCTAGCCCATTACGGTTCCAGGCCTCCGGGTGAGGGGTGGTGAGAAGGAGGTTGATGGAGTTTCCCTTTGGTTTATGGAATAGAGCCAGGCCTGTGGTGGTAAGACAGGCCCTCCTTCCTGGACTCCCATCCCAGCAAGATGCCCCTGCCTAGCCAGGGACGCATGTGCAGGCACTTAGTCCCTGTACTCTGAATGGTTTGTTTTTTTTCCTGCTTCTAAGCATAGTTCAGGTCGAGCTTGCCAAGGAGAGAAGCAGTGCTCTTCAAGTGTATTACTTGCACACAGTATGTAGACACAGAAAGAGA